GAAATAAGTAGGATTTATGAGTACGCGATATGTATGTACATTAGACTGCATCACCAAAAAAAGTTTCTGTTTTTACACCGGGATTACAAAATGTATTATATTTCAAGACGTCCACCAAAATATTTTGGCAAAATATTAAGATTTAAGCGAGCTGGACCGATTTGAAAATACCTACAAAAATGGAGTTTTTTATGAAAAAAAATAGTTTCTTACAGAACTTTTTGAAAAAAGTCCCCTCAGATGACGAAACAGATTAGGCTTAAATAATCTGCATAAAAATATTTAAAAATCTTTTCAACGGAATCGTAATAATGAGATGTTTGATACTGTTTTTTTTTACTTTTTTCCGAAAAACTTAAATAACTGGGCCAAAACTATTCTAATTTAGAGATATGGGACCTCGGTAGAAAAGTATTTTCCCACTTTTTTTATTTATATGTGTCCAAATTTTTTTTTTTTTTCAAATACCAACACATCTTAATTCAACTTTGAATTATGTTCGTTCACCCTACCTTTCTCTTTCATCCTTTAAATGAGTTGAGAAAATACCTTCCAATGATACCTCACAAGTCTAAACCGGAAAGAGTTTAGGTTCAGTTATTCAAGTTTTTCTTATACCAATCTTTGAAAAAAGTTAAAAAAAAAACAGCATCAAAAATCTCATTATCACGATTCCGTTAAAAAATTTCTAAATTTTTTAAAAATATTTTTATTCAAATTTTTTAACCTTAAACCGTTTTGTTATTTGAGGGGATTTACACTTACACGTACTTACAAGGACGAAAAATCGGTTTCTGTAGATTTATTTTTAGGTTTGTGATACATTAAAAAAATTTGTTTTATTAAGTAAGTTATCTGTGCAACGATCCATATATGATAAATTCGGTTACAAAATAACTAAGTTGCCGGGTTTTCGACTTACCTTTCCACCTAACTGCCGTCCCTAAAAGAGCGCGTCAAGTGCCAAACAACTTTCGAAAAGTCTCATGCCCGTACAATTTGTACGGAGCATCCCACAATAACGCGGCGCATGCGCCGAGCAAATGGAATTTTCATTTGTGACAGTGCGTTACATGTTGAAGTTGGATGCAGAAGACGGAAAGAAAGAGAAAGAACAAACAAGTGAAAGACGAATCGAGAATAAAAACGAGAGGAAATGAGAAAACGATAAAAATTACTCCCCTAACCGCCAAAAAGACGTAAGCGACATTATTTCAAAATTTTCTTTTTGATGCAGAAATGTTCCAAGAGCATCTAGCTGCATTTTTGCATAAAAAAAAATAAAATAAAATAAAAATGGCACTTACGACTTTTTGGCAGTTAGGGCTCGATAGTTAGACTGTTGTATAGATAATTTACTTAATAAAACAATTTTATTAAATCTACAAAAACTGATTTTTCGTCCTTGTAGGTACATTTTCAAGCTGACTTTTCTTCATCCAATTTACACCAAATTTTATCCCAGTTATTTTTAGATGGAAAGGGGAAAAAATAGTCTAATCGCACCGTCTAGAACATGTTTTGAAAAATGTACATACATACATAAGTACATGTGATTTTTTGGATGCTGGGACAGCGAACTATCCTCAAGGGGCCCTTTGAAACCAGGATAAGCCTGTTATGCGAAGACTTCACTCCCCACGGGACTACCGCCAAGTATTGCTTCGTGGGGAGGGAGTTGGCGGTTAATCGCCACTCCTACGCCTCTGCATCTCAAAACTTTTCAGCCTCTTTGAGATTGAGGAAATGACATCGCTGCTTGATGTCCATTCTTTATCACTCTTACATACATACATACATACATATGCATGTTTAAGCAAACGCAATCAATCAAAACCGACTTACAAACTCCGGGTTGAGTTGAATGATTCACATGATTCCACTCATGCCATGAATATTGTATATCAAACTCCGTTGAGTGCGCATCAAACTTGTTGGGGATGGTATGAGTATGATGAGGGCGTCGTATCCATAACTATGGCAACTTATACACATAAATCAATGTCGTTCTGCATATGCGTACATCAGAGTGGTGGTATTTCCCAGATTTAGACGCAATTATATCCAAAATATGCTGAGTGGCGGGGAATATCAAAATAGGCACTCTTTGCTGATCACTGATCTGGATGCATTTCTGCATCGAAAAAATAAAATTAAAAAAATGTCGCTAACGTTTTTTTTTTTTGCGGTTAGGGCTCGTTATATACTATAATTACCCTGTCCCTTTTGCAGCCGTTCTCGTCCTGTACCTGAGTCGTCAACTCCTTTATAGTGACGACGACGCCACCATCATCTTCCACGTCTTTGGTGTGGTCAATAACTTCCTATGCGTTTTGGGTGCTATCATCTCCGACGGCTGGCTTGGAATATTCAAAACTATATCTTATTTCTCACTTGTCTATGTTGCCGGGGCAGCATTGATTGCTCTCGGTGCTGTGCCTCCGCTAAATTTGCCCGCCAGGACGATTACATTGACCGGTTTAGCGTTGATAGGGCTGGGCTCGGGCATGATGAAACCGTCCATATCCGCCTTTGGTGGTGACCAGTTCAAGTTGCCCGAACAAGTAAAACAATTGGCGACATTCTTCTCGCTCTACTACTTTGCAGTCAATGCTGGTGCATTAATTTCGATCACAGCAACACCAATTCTGCGCGAAGATGTTTATTGTTTCGGCGAACAGGAATGCCCCTCATTAGCTTTTGGCGCACCGGCTATCCTCATGGCGGTCTCGTTATGTGAGTACATTTGCACTAAAGAGATAAATGTAAGGAGTCTTATTGAAATTATAAAAGTATTTATACACCCACTCATATTTTTTAGTTATCTTCATCCTGGGCCGCCCATTCTATAAAAGTAAACCACCAGCGGGTAATGTGGTGATGTTGGTCGGCAAAACTGTTGGTGTAGGTACACTGGAAAACATACATAGCAATTTACATAAGAACTAACAAAGTTACTCCAAATATGTAGAACGCTATTGCTACAAAATGGAAGGAGAAGAAGACCAATCCTCGTGAACACTGGTTAGACTATGCGGATAAGAAGTATGACCGTCAATTAATTGGAGATGTGAAAGTGCTGATGCGTATTTTGGTACTCTATCTGCCGCTGCCTGTCTTCTGGGCGCTTTTCGACCAGCAGAGCTCACGGTGGACTATCCAGGCAACTCGGATGGATGGTGACATGGGCTCATGGGATATCAAACCCGATCAAATGCAAATGTTAAATCCCCTCCTGATTTTGGCATTCATTCCGCTCTATGAACTTGCATTCTATCCTTTACTTGGTCTGGT